TGCCCGTTGATCTCAAACTCGAAGCGATGCGTGGGTGCCCGGGCATCAGAGCCAGTCGCCATGGTAGCAATGGTAGCAGGGCGTCTGCAACCGTTTCCCATTTTGCAGGAATGGCTTCTCACCGGTCTCGGAAGATCCCTAGGTATATTATAGTCATTTACAGTGCAAAATAGTACACTATAAGATGCGTGTTATAGTATACTAAAATACGAATTATAGTATGTTATAGCATATTAATAGTAGATTCTCGGCTGCTTCAGGGTAGCCTGAAGCCACACAACTTCGCGGAACACCGTGCGACTTCACGAGATCCCAGCTTAGAATAGGGGCGGGCGAATTTGCTATGCCAGCACTACAGAGCTCTTTTCGTGTCACAGACAATAGCCACACGTGGAACATCAGTACTGGGAGCGATGCGTACGGCGCCCTCTTCTCTGTCTCTCTGANNCTCTCTCTCTCTCTCTCTCTTCAGTACCTGGCAGTTACTAACGACAGTACCTCAATGGGAGAGCCGCAGCATGAGCACTTGCAGCGTCCAGGCAGCTCTGAGACGAACTTATCACTTAGCAAATAACTTGACATGCATCTGTGTATCCCTGGCAGAAGATGTCGAGCCGTCAAGAACAACATATGCCATTCCATAGCCTAAACCTCAACCGCTATCGAAAACAGCCAGCTCGTACGTGGACCCCTGGACACCGTACACTGTCGCAATGCGAGAAAAATAATTAGCACACACTGCTACGATAGAGGCGCATGCACTCTGGCGTACCTGGGCTGTCACCCAGTGATGCATTGATTTATTTGAAACTTCGTTGCTGAACCACAAACATGTACTCTCGGCAGACACCTGGTAGTCCACACTATCAGGCCGAACTGGCCTTCGTAGGTCGGACATCAAAGGGAACTGTCCACAAGTCGGCCGTCCTTGGCGAGTCACTTCAGCATGGGGGCTGACTTGCGTGCTGTTTAGGGTTAGTTTTGGGGGTACATGTCGAGGTTCCTGGTTTGGGGAACTACCAGACAGAGAAAGTGTTGCAGCATGGTGCTCTTGAGAATTCTGTTCGCGTATTCTAGCAACCATGCAAAACTGACCCAAGCCCTTGCCCTCTTTCTTCGCACTTAATGTGCGGCGCAATGCCTGGGTCTTTCGGATCGTCAACA